AGACAGTTTGAACTGGAGGGATGATCATTGAGCCAGATCCTCTGGCACCAAAACAGGCATTTGCACTGATTTTAGTGTGAATTTGAGGCTCCAGCAGCCTCAGACAGAAACCACAGCCCTTTCCACACAAGCAGTCAATTCTTCTGATTTGTATTAAAGCAGGAAAATTATGGCCAGTGTTCAAGGAGAAGAGATGGGGCAGGACTGAAGTGGTTGCCTGTGGAGTATCTCCAGGAACATCGTTAAAAATCAAATTCCTTGTAGATGAATGAGGAACAGACACCAGCCTCAACTTCTACCTCCACGAACTGAAATGTGTGAGGATCAGTGCAATGAATGGAGATTAGCTGCTAGAGCCACTGTAAGGGAGGATAAGGGAGGACTGGAGGGGCTCTTTTTGCTTGACCTCAGTTGCCCACTCAGGGTAATTGAATGATCTTTGGAGGGCATCAGCGCATTTTTCAGCAAGTGTGCCTGACCAGCATGGGTTGTGAAACTCAGTGTGTATTTGTGCTTTCTGAGCCCACGTGCTTGTTTCTTTGCCTGGGTCCTCAGAGTAAAAATCAAAACTAGGCCCAGCTGTTCCTTATAATTAAATTTCAGTAACTCAAGCTGGGTGATTTTATTTTGACTAGTGACTTAAAAGTGATGGCATTTATATGGCCTTAGCTGTATTTCAAAGTTAACATTGAGAAACTTCACACAGACATTAGTGTTATTTGCCTGTTGGCAAACTCAACAAAATACCACTGTGTTGATAGCGGAGGTTATCTTTGCTAACAGAAGGACTCAGAATTTCATTATTTAAAATATGAGTCTGAATCTCATCACAGTGCAGGAGGCTACAGATGCCATTACACACAACTTACCAGCTGAGTCAAGAGCAGAGGTGAAGTTTGCATCATGCACGAAGACCTGTGTTCAAATATACCTAAAAGATGCAAAATCTAAAACCCACACAACATTATCTGTAGCTAGGACAGATCTGACTGTACCATGAGGACTTTTCCTTTCTGTACTTAGGTTTGTTTCTACGTGCCTTTCTTATCTCTTTAATTTATTTATAAGATATTTACGCCATACATGGGCAGTCTGTGAAGCAATAAACCAATAATAGGCTCAGTTTTCATTGCAGTTTCTATATTTGGGTATTTTAGTACATCAAAATCTGGATATAAGAAGTATTAACAGTCTTATGCCAGCAGAAAGAAATTAATTTTATGCCTGCCTCTGCACAGAAGCCAAAAGCTTCAGGAAATAAGATCTCTTCTCATAAGCATCTTTTCAGATCCAGTTAGGAGAGGAGAAAATAAACAATGAAATGCAAGCTTCCGGACAACAGCACAGCAGTGAGATACGATCGTTCATGTGATAATACATATGATTCACAATATGTGTCTGACTGGCACTCCAAGACTCCAGTGCTTATTGATGATCTAGGTAGAATCTGGTGCTTTCATCAAGCCTTGGCCCTTGGGAGTCCAGTTGTGACAGAGGGCTATGTGCAGCCTGGCAGAGCAGAGATGAAGACCAGTCTTTTAAAACCCCTTGTTGTGACACAAATCCTTTGGAGCCAGCATGCACAGCCTGAAGAAAGCAGCAGTTCCAGTGCCTGGGTGGGGACATGTTTTCTGCATGCTCCTCCAGCAGTGACATGCAGCACCATGACAGGGACCACTGTTAGGAAGCTGGCTTCACTTTCTTCCTGCAGCTGTTCATAACCCAAGTCTGAAGCCTCAGAGAGAAGCGTGGGGAATACTTACTGACCCCACCCAGGAAGACCAGGTGGTCCCTATAGGAATTCAGGTGAGCTGAGGTCACTACAGCTAGACCTGTCACATGCTGGGTGAACATTTTGCTGACCACATGCAGCAGTGCTACAGAAATGAGTGAGAAACCAGCAAGCACAATGGAAGTAAACAAATGAGGGAGAAAAAAAAAATCATCTTCTTGGCAAGACAAAGAGGGAAGCAATGAACAATGATTACTGATGAATAATGACCCAGAATTAATGGAGAAGGGCAACAGCAAAATCTGTGCACAGAACACAAATATTTTAGAATGAGAGTAAACAGTGACATTAGTAGGGTGGCCAAAACTCATTATCCATTCACATAATACTTGTCTACACTACACACCATGGCTGATGACAGGGGCTAGGGCTAGAACATTGCCCTTGGAAGCTCTATAATTTTATCAGAAGAACCTTTGCACAAGAGGCAAGCTGTTCCAAAATTGAATGAAGGGCTAGGTTTTCCTCTTGTTATTATTGGTGTTTTGAATTTAAATTCCTCTCAGATATGTAACCCTATTTGGGAAGGATGTGGAGCTACAGAGGCTTGAGGGCAGTTGCCAACTTAAGCACAACTAAATTAAGCCAGAAATGCTGAGCAGAAGTGAAAGCAATATCACACTGTATTAGAAGGCAGGATTATAAAATCTCTGCCTATGAAAGAGATCAGAAGAATGCAGACAGCTCTGTATTATTCTTTTTAATGCAGTAAAGTCTAGAGGCTCCAACCAATTATCAGGCACCAAAAGGAGGTGGTTCCTGCTTGAACACAAGGAGGCACCACAAAATAAAAACATGGAAACTGACCAAACCCTATCCCCATAACCTTTTAGGAAAACAGAAAGGCTCATTGACGTTTCATCTTCCTTGTCTGTTCAGTGAATTTTGGCAAACTTTGACTGCCACACTTTCTTTAATTCAAGGCAATCTTCCCCCACCTAGTTTCTTGAGAGTTTAACTAAAGATCTGGGACAAATTTTACAAAATCTCAAGCACCACCACTGTTTTTCTGATCTCAGGAGACTTGTGGGTCTTAGCACATCTCAAGATCAGGGCATGTTGCCCTGTGCCGAAGCAAGGACGAAGGGGCTGTCCCTGCAGGACTTTACCACACAGCTGTGCAGTCCTGACTCTTCTTCAGTTCAATGCTTCTCTTCCTAGAGTTTCCTAGCCCCTCTGGGTGATGATGGATCCTCTCCAGCCTCCTCTTGTGGTACTTTCTTGAGCTGCGTCCTCTCAGGTGAGCCAGTCCCTCCTGCTCAAGGATGCAGTGCTTTCTCACCCTGTCCAGGAGCTCGATGTCCCAGGCAGAACACTGCAGTGCCTGGCTCTGTGTGGTGCTGAGCATAGCCCAAAAAGGACAGGGCCGCAGGGAAACTGCTTTTCCATGACAGAGGAAAACAGCCAGGAGGAGATGTCCAAGAGGGAAGTGCTGAGAGTTTACAGGGAACTTGGGCACGTAGCAGCACGTGGAGATGTGCACAAACATGCCTGCAGACTGAAAATGCTTGTCTCTTCTTAACTGAATTTGTCGTGGTATCTTCGGGAGATTTAATCGGGTTGGAGCATAGACATTTCACCGATCTTGGTATTATCCTGATCCAGCAAAAAAGCAAGCTCGCACTCCCTTTGTGTGCAAAACTTTCCTGCGGCTGCTGAGAACAAAAGCTGGCAGGAGCTGCGGGACCTGGACAAACGCGTGCTCCCGCTGTCCCGCGTCCCCGCCTGCCGAGCGCTGGAGGAGCCTGTGGGGCACATCAAGGCTGCTCGACCGCGGCCGTGCCCCTCCAAGCACACCAGAAAAATAAAGGGAAAAATATAAAAGGAAGGGGAAAAAAAATAGTAGGAAAGCCTGAGCCCGGAAGACACGGGATTACTACAAGTGTAAAGCAGGCGATGAGATCCGGGGGGCCGCGCACCTCGACTGCAGCGGGGCTGGCCGCGCTGCGCAGCCCCTCGCCCGGCGGTCGAGGCGGGCGGTGCCGGGGTGCCGGGCGGTGCCGGGCGGTGCCGGCCCGCTCCGGCTGCGCCCCTGTCCCGCACCGTCTCGGTCGCCTCGGCCCTTCCCGCACGCCCAGCTCCGGCACCGAGCGGCACTTGTAACGCCGCGAGGGACGTGGCGGCGGGCAATACTCCCCGGCCCCGCCGGGCTCCTTGGGGAGCCCGGCATCGCCCAGCCTCACGGCGTAGCGGGCACGGTGCAGGATAGGATGAGAACAACAGCACGACTAACGAACACCTGCATCCGCCCGTGCCGTGGCATCTTCGTCGGGCTGGAAGGGGAGGGGCTGCTCCCCGCCTGGGAGGGAGACGAGTTCGGGCTCCTCCCGACGCCTGCAGGGGCAGGGGCGGGGGGCCGGCGGTGGGGCGGTGCGCGGGGCCGGAGCGGCCGAACCCCCCTCCCCGTCGGGCGGCTGGTGGGTGCGGGAGGGAGGGCCAAGGGAGGCGGTCGGCGGCTCCTCCTCCGCGGGCAGGCGGGCGGGCAGCCCGCCCGAGAGCGGCACCGGTTGCTCGGTGCCGGCGGAGCCGCGCCGCGCCGCCCTCTATATAAGGGGCGGCGGCTGCTCGGCGCTCACTCGCACCGGCCCCTGCCCGCGGCTGCCGGCGCTGGGCGGAGGCCGGGCCTCGACAGCATGGCCCGCGGCGGGGCGCAATGGGAGGTGGTCTCCCCCCCTGCCTCCCGCGGACCCTCCTCTTCCTCCTCCTGCTCCACCCGCGGCGGCGGCTGCAAACTTGCTGCGGCGGGCTGCGTGTGAAGGCACGGCCCGGCGGGGCGGCTCCGCTGCCCCCGCAGCCCCCGCCGTCGCGCCCGCAGCCCGGGGGGCGAGGCCGCCGCCCGCGGGCATGCGGCGCTGCCACCGCGCCCGTCGAGACACGGTGTGGAGCCGCGGGCGGCGGGGCTGCGCTTAGGGGCGGCCGGGGCCGGAGCCCCATGTCCGGGGCTCGCCGCGCTCCGCGGGCAGGCGGCGGGGCGATGAGCTGCCGGGGCGAGCGGGCGCACCCGGTCCCCGGTTTGCCCTGCTCCCTCTCCCGTGGGGAGTGAGGCTCCGCGGAGCCCGCTCGGAGCGCCCGGAAGGGCGGGCAGGCGGGCGGGAGGTGGTGCCGGCGCGGCGATGCTGCAGCCCTCCCCCGGCGCCGACGGGGTCCTGCCGGGGTAGCGGCCCCGCCGTGCCGCGCCGAGCCCCGCCGTCTGCGGGGGCGGCGGCCGCGGAGGGATGGAGCCGGCCGGCCCCTGCCGGGCGCAGTTGGGCTCCGCCAACGACTCTTACCGAAACTGTAGCGCCGAGGAAGTGATTTACCAAGATGCCACCCCCCTCTCCGGGAAGATCGTGCTCGCCGTCGTCCTGGCGCTGGTCACCCTGGCCACGGTGCTTTCCAACGCCTTTGTCATCGCCACGGTCTACCAGACGAGGAAACTCCACACGCCGGCCAACTATCTGATCGCCTCGTTGGCCGTCACCGACCTCCTCGTCTCCATCCTTGTCATGCCCATCAGCACCATGTACACTGTGACCGGCAAGTGGACGCTGGGTCAGATCGTCTGCGATATCTGGCTGTCCTCGGACATCACCTGTTGCACGGCGTCCATCCTGCACCTCTGTGTCATCGCCCTGGACCGCTACTGGGCGATCACCGACGCCGTCGAGTACTCCACGAAACGGACTCCCAAGCGGGCAGCGGGCATGATCGCACTGGTATGGATCTTCTCCATCTGCATCTCCATGCCCCCTTTGTTTTGGCGGCAGGCGAAGGCCGAGGAAGTATCTAACTGTGTGGTGAACACGGACCACGTCCTGTACACCGTGTACTCCACAGTAGGAGCATTCTACTTCCCCACTCTGCTGCTGATAGCCCTCTACGGGAGGATCTACGTGGAAGCCAGGTCGCGGATTTTGAAGCAGACGCCAAAGAAAGCAGGTAAAAGACTAACGCGGGCACAGTTAATTACAGACTCCCCGGGGTCGACCTCCTCCGTCACGTCCATAAACTCCAAGGCTCCCGAGGGATCCAGCGAAACGGGCTCCCCCGTGTACATGAACCAGGTGAAGGTGAAGGTCTCGGACGCCCTGCTGGAGAAAAAGAAGCTGACGGCCGCTAGAGAGCGGAAAGCTACAAAGACTTTAGGGATTATTTTAGGAGCCTTCATCGTGTGTTGGCTGCCCTTTTTCATCATCAGCTTGGTGATGCCTATTTGCAAGGACGCTTGCTGGTTCCACATGGCCATCTTTGACTTTTTCACGTGGCTTGGATATCTCAACTCCCTCATCAACCCCGTCATCTATACTATGTCTAACGAAGACTTCAAACAAGCTTTCCACAAACTCATACGTTTCCGATGCACAGGCTGAAATGTTGAATGCGATGTGTTCCCCGCGGCAGCCCCCATGCACGCCCGCGCCCGGCGCCACAGGTAGGTCCGCGCACCCCGCCCTGCCCGGAGAGCCGCGGTGCTCGGGGGGAGGTGGGGGGCTGGCAATGGGGCGGGGGGGTGCGGCCCCATAAAGAGCCGGTGTTCAGACCCTTCCCGAGTGGCTGCGAGCGCTGGGGATGCTGCGCGCTCCTGGCATTTCACAATCTGTGTGTGCGCGCGTCGAGTGTGCCCCCCTCTCCTCAGCCCCCCCTCCAGCTCGCAGGGAGTGACTTACGGCAATCTGCTTTTTATTCCACCTATTAAACCAATCTCCCACCATTTCGTATGCTAATGCCCGTGTTCCGGCCAATTAGTGCTAAACGGCACTCGCTTTCCGAGCCCGCCACCGAGCTCCCCGGAGAGCGCCGGGCCGGGCCGGTCCCCGCCCGCGGCGGCGTCCCCGGTGCCGCCTCCCGGCCCCGCCGGCAGCTGCGGGCACCGCTGGGCGTGCAGCCCCCTGGGGAGGCACTCGATACAGCCCCGGAATCAGCGGCATGATGTTTTTGTTGGGGTGTTTGTTGGGGTTTTTTTTGGTTTTTTTTTTTCGTTTTTTTTTTGGTTTTTTTTTTGTCGAGGAAGGGAGGTAGTTCAGACCCCAGGTGAAGGCTGCTGACAAAGTCCAGCCTTACTTCTTTCTGCCCTCCTCTGCTCCGGCTGCTCCTGCGGGAGCGGAGCCGGCTGCGAGCCGGCGTCCCGAGAGGAAAGCTGCTCCTTAGCCACTGTGGGAGACTCGACACCTCGGTGTGTCTCTTCACACACCGAAGGGCTTTGCCTTTCCGCGCCTCTTGACACCGGTGGCTACCAGCTCATCACTAAACTCAGCGCCACGTTCTGCAGAATGCATACATGCCTTTATTGTGATACTTTAATAATTCTGCCAATCTTTTGCTTTTTGTCTGCAGAATCAAGTTGCTATTGTAAAGACCCACTGCTTGAAACTTCCCCAAGCCCAGTTGCCAGACTCATGATGCTGCAAAAACGTCAATACATTCTGCCACCAAACTGCTCAGCTCTGCGTTTCAGTGTAATGACTCTGGCAGAGATGCTGTTCCAATAGGCACGCAGATCAGTT